TACCCGAATTTAGGTCATAATTATATAACCCATGAAATTAAAAAATTTCATCTTTCATCAATTGATTTCTTAATTTTCTTAAGATGCAAATAAATTAATACAATCAATTCAGCCCTACAAAGATAGAACACACAAAAAACTAAAAATCATACCCATTATATTGGAAAGAAACTCCCAATAGGTTGCATAATAATGAAATACAAAAAACATAAAATCATAGTATCATACACAAAACCGTACCAACAAGAACATCATACCGCAACAACAAAAAAACAGATAAGGGTAGGCCTTTCTTTGCATGAAAACACATATAGAACTAAGAAATAAAACACAAATTGATTCAGAACCAGAAACCATCACACAAACTCCCAGGAAAATTCAAAGACTTAATAAGAGCAAAGTCCAACAAGATCAAAAATAACCACAGATAATAGGCATTAGAATTTACCTGTTCAGCTGCTGCATAAGAAGCCCCGGCGAAAGAGATGTGACTAATAGGTGGGTGGTCATTTCACCCACAGACAAGGTCCCTTGCTTTCAAAAAGTGAATTACTAAATACCATATAGATATAACAGCACATCAAGTTCAATCACTACTAAACTTTCTTCCAGTTGAGTAAAACATTACTCAGGCACTTCAATGCACGCGTACATGTTACTGACTCTGCTGCAATAACGAGGCATTTCAACCTTCATTGACCCGGTAGTTACCAAGTCTGAAATAATGATAAAAAGTAAATTTAACTATTAGAAACCCCTACAAGGATGAACTTCTGGTTGTGCATAGAAGTCAATAAATTTTGATTCAATTCATTTCAAGAATTATTTCCCCCAAGAAATTTGCAATGTTTATCAAAATTTTCAGATCATACACTATTCCTTATTCTATATTTTCAGATAATACACTATTCCTTTACATAAGTTTTTACATTATTCTCTCCAAAAGTAAAAGTTAAAAGAAATTAATCGTTGTCTTATCAAAGCGGATTAGATTATTAGAATTTATTTTCAATTTTTAATATTTTCAGCTTAGTTTTGAAGTTGTAATGATCTTTAGCCTCATAATGAGAACTATTTTATAGATGAAATATTACCGTTTTATACAGAAAATATTTTTTTTGTAAACTCTTCTATCAATACTTCTTAGGTTGT